AAGCCTCCCAACGCCTAACGTCACGGTCGTCCCCGTGGCCTCGGCAGCTCCAAATGACAAGCGCGCATATGCCATTGTCGCCCCACTGATCACCAGCGCCCAACCACAGGTAGATGCCAACAGCGCTGTACGCGCAGACAATGCCGCGTACGCCGACCCTGATGCTAAAGACAAAGTTGTTGCCAACGGATTTGTTTCTACTTTGTAGAAGACTAAGTCCTTTTCATTGTAAATATAGAGTAGTTTTACTGCATTTTCTTTCAGTGTGCTTTTACACCTTATTTAGGTAAAGTCATGTAACTTTGATTTATTTTTTTAAGCATTATTAAGGGGGACCAAGCAATCAAACGTTCTAGCAAGCAATCGCCTCTATGTTGAATACTAAGTGGGAGATAAAGTGATGGTCAAAATTCCAAAGTGGTACTTGTTTGCAGGGGTCCATGACCCTCGCCTATTGCAAAAATATATTAGACCCTTGTCCATTGAAAAGCACATTGGGAAAGTTGCATACCGGGTGGATACCCCAGCTTGGTGGAAAATTCATCATGTTTTCCATGTCAGTCTCCTAAAACCTTTTCGGGAAGATATGGAGGATCCTTCACAAAGACAACTCACAATACCAAGTATTCGAGGCCCCAATTCAACCGGAAAAAGGCGTGCTGAAGCTATTCTTGATGATCGAGTGATTCATGCCTCAAGGAAAGATCACCAAGAGTTCTTGGTGAAATGGCAGGGATGTGATGCAGAGGAGAATACCTGGGAGAGGGGAACAAACCTCAAAGCCTAAAAGAGCTTACTTGATGATTATCTTGCAACTAAGGCGCCAAGGACATCGCCAACTCAGGTGGGGGAGAATGTCATGAGCGGCTTTCCAGCCATGTCCCATGACCCCTTAGACGCGTCCCGTGGCGTCCTGGCAAGCCTCCCAANTCTGCTCTCTCTCAATTACTCATGACATTGGTTTTCCCGTATGGCACTGACAATCTAGTCTAGCGTACGTAGGAGACCTCAGTTGGTGGACAGCAACCGTACTGATATCGGTTGCTTAGTCTTACGTCGCCCTTCCAAGAAATTTCAGGAAGGCGCCGCGTAACAGAATTAATGACTTCTCCTCCTCTTTCTATTTCTTCTCCTGTCTTTTGTTTTGTCCTTTTTTTGTAAGTAATCTTTCATTTTACCTTTCATTTTTCAGAAATGATGTATTTCTTCTCCTGTCTTTTGTTTTGTCCTTTTTTTGTAAGTAATCTTTCATTTTACCTTTCATTTTTCAGAAATGATGTATGCAATGTGTGTTTTTGCCTTGATTGTTTGGTATTGGTCATATTTTGTATCTTGAAATTAATATAATATCACAAAATTATGGAACTATAGAAATACAAAAATAACTGATCATTGTGTTGAACTTCAATTAAATATTGTAGAAGTGATTATATTTTCTCTCACTTTTCTTTAATACCTTATTTTGGAAATTTAACAATACTCCAAATACAAAAGTATATAAAAAGAATGAAATTGAAGGATAATGTAAAGATATTATAGAAATATAAAACAAAACCTTGCGTTGAATAATTTATTGTTTATTACTCTTGCAATTATATAATAATTTTTTTGCTATAACACATAGAAGAACTATTTGTTGCGTTGAATTTAAAAATTTTATTATATATAATATATCTTTTGTTTTCAAAATTGAGTTGTTTAATAGACAGATATTGATGGTATAATTTTGTGATATGATGTAGGATATCATCAAAATATCGTAAATAGCACAAGGAGGTACCGGGGTCAATAGTTAATGTTCATTCAAGCACATTATCTTAATATATTATCCAATTTTATTCTCATCAAGAAAAGAAGATTTAGCCCTCCGATGTGTGTAAATTTAGAGAAAATGAGTCTTGAAAATTTTAAAAGGGAGCAATCAAAAATTTAATTAGATAAAAGAAGTTAATTATAAAAAATTTAACAATAAATTTTCATCCATACTTTATTTTTAGGATTTGTATAATAGTTCATTACCCTTTTAGCTTTCACCATATCCTTAAATGCTATACCCTTATCCAACTCCTTAAAATTCTCCAACATATCCCTTACTACCCACCTCCTTAGTATGCGTCAAGTCTTTCAGAATCATAATCAACATCAAAATTATAATACCCAATAAAATTCTCATTATCATATATTGCTTCAACATCTACATGATATGTTTCAGTATGATGCAGAATATTTTGAGTATGGATAGTCAAATCCAACTCATCTACAGCAGACAAGTTTATAATTTTGAACTCCAAACATATAAGGCATTGTAAAGCCCTAATACCATCATCTCCATCAATTATATAGAATATACTCGAGGGCCAGTAACTTAAAGTTGTTTCACTTCAGTAAACCCTAACTCTTTTGTGAACTTTCACACAAGTTTTTATAAGACAACAAATCTGGGTCAAACCTATTCCACATATGGACTACTTACTATACAATAACTCTGGAGAAATTATCCATTCAACCCCATAGTTAAAACACACATTCACTTTGTCAGTCATGCTTCAATAAAGTTCACATGCAAAAAGAAAAGTAAAACAGAAAATTGAGCGACCACATCAGCATTATACATCGGCAATTAAAAAATACAAGAATAACAAAACTCTAGAAAGACAATAATTTTGGGGACCGCAATAGAAAAGAACAAAAATATAAAAGGATGGAACTTCAGAGAATAAACAATGATTTACTCTCCATTTACACAGACAAAAACAAGTAACCCCACATGCGCTATAATCCCCACATGAACAGAATCTACACTCACCATATTAAACCTCACCCACCATATTAAATAACCTTTTTCATATTTAAATAGGCTACTAACATTGATAAGTTACATCAATCTTCCGACAAAATTGAATTTTGAAACCACCATCGACAATAGACTGCCTTCTGTTCGAAACCCTAATAAAATTAAAGAGGAATTTTGAGGAAGGGGTTTGTTCGAAGAAAGACAGGACTAAAGTGAAGGAATTAGGGGTTAGAGTTAAAAGATTGAATTTTATCGGGTTGGGCTTGGTTAATTCTACATAATCAGGGTTAAATAAATGTGGAATCAAGTCAAGGAAGATGGTGTAAATTATTGACACGTGGCAAAGGTAGGGTCGAAAAAATAATTATTATAATTTACAAATCATATATTGGAATCGTTAGTGGACAGTGGCATCAATCGGTCAAAAGTCTAACGTTAGTGGAATGGAAATATCGAACATTTAACGGATAGCATCAATAAGCCATTTCTGTTAGTTCAGTAGCATTTTTAGGCCATTTCCGATAGGGAAAAGATTCTCAACTATATGTATTTAGGATTTTTAATACGCAATAAAATCTAAAAGATTTGAGTGAAATATAAGTATTGGCACATATGTTTTCTCTTTTAACTTTAAAGTTCGTGCTTTAAAATTTTATTGGACATTTTTTCAAAGCTAGATGCATTGAAGTGCCAATATATTTTCGTTCCTTTTTTTTTTTAATCTCATTTCTATATGCTTAGTTAGCGTCGGCAGTCCAATGTTTTGGTAGCCTATCACTACTTTTGGTTTATAGTTACATTTGTTCTATGAAAACTGACTATCACATTAATCATAATTAAATTCTATAGTTTTGTCTTTTGGAAAGACTTGTTAACCTATTTGATATCATTTTTATTTTAACTTGATAAATAGTTTTTATTGTTTTCTGAATTCTAATTTAAAGAATATAGGTGAAATATCCCTCTCAAAGTTAGCTTTGATCCTAAAAGCAAACTAGGAGATCTATACCACAGGATGCATAAAAGATAGTGATAATAAGAAAAATTCATATAATAATACACTAATGACGTGAAGTTCATCTAATTATATGTAAGACAAGATAAATATTACGGAATAGAATACCAAATTCCAAAAGATATGTATGGTAGTTTGGATATCAAATGAATAAAAAACATCTTGCCGTTATAGATGAAGTACCAAAATAAACCTTATTTGTTTTATGTATCTTTTGGACTTCTGTTTTGTAAGTAAAATCTCAAGAGAATATAGTCAAGTTGAGAATTATGCCAATAGGGGATATAGCTCAAATGGTAGAGTGCTGAGAGGCACGGGGTTCGATCCCCCGCATCTCCATGTTTTGAAACTTCCAATTTTGCAGCTCCTACTGCGAGTTTCAAAACTTGTGAAGCTCTAGCTGATCAACAGCATCTTGTTTCAACAGGATCAATTTAGAATCTAAGTTAAACTTGCCACTTGATTGATTTTGATGCACAGAATAATGTTATTAGTCCTAGATGAAGCGATTGGTCTCTCAAAAGCTGAAGAGAATGCGGTGAAGTCGGAGATTTGTGTATATAAGGAAAATTATATAGGGGGGAAAGAGCCAATTCACAATAGACGTTATATGATAAAGATCACCTTTTCATACTTTATCAGATACTCTACAAAATAATGCATTTGCGCGATGCCATCTGCTGAGACCCAATACTTTTTTCCTTTTTGATACATGATCATCAAGTCAATATATTGAGTACTCCACTCTTTTTCTTTTTCGAATTCATATCTGCATTCTATTCCATTGTAGGCCATTCAATTGTCAGAGAAAAATTCAGTATCACTCAATCATGATCCACTTATATTTTCAGCTGGCAAAACAAACGAACCTTATATTAAGAAATAAAAGGAAAGGCGTTGCTTCTTTTCTTTCTCTTTTTTTGGTAGGGGGTTGTTAAACCTAGCCATTTCTCACATTAGAGGACTCTTATCAAAGGCATTTCCAGAGAAGAGGAAAATATGGGAGAGAGCAAAGTAACGAAACCAGTCTGTAAAAAAAGGTTTTGGTAATCATGGTCACTACCAGATAAATTGCTATTACTGGTTGCTGAAATAACATATGGATTCTTGGCGATCCTATCAGATCCCTCGAAAATTCTCTAGGGGATATTTGTCAAAAACTAAAGCAAGTTCAATAGGCACCCAGAAAAATGATGGGGGGAAATGAAAGAGAATAAATAATAAAATACAGAAGCTGCAAACATACATCCGAGGATACAGCTTCAATTGATCAAATCGCACAACCTCATAGGAATATATATAATACAAACCATTTCCAGTTAGCATATCAAAATTGTTTCTGAAGTAAATTCTCACAACTTCAGTCTGACCCAGCCGATTCCATCAGCAAAATTGCATCAATCTTTTGGAGCACAATCACCTCAGCAACAGGGTAGATCTGTCCTGACAGAACAAAAGTGCTAATCATATATTTAGCAAATTCCTGTTAACACATTCAATAATACAGCTTCTGGCAAGTGAACTATTGTCACTACTATCATTTCAAATAGGTTAATCAATAAAACACATCAAGCCTCGGCCTCTGCGGACGTGTTACCTTGTCCTATCAGAACTTTGATACAGACAAAACTTAGCTGTATCATGGTTCTAAGCCTTTTTATAATAACCTATGTTCTTCTCCACCGAACTAAGTGATGAAAGACAATTTATTTCCAAAATCTCTACTCTAAGAATATAGTAGTTTACCTCTACATCACAGATCACAAACATCAGAAGAGATGCAAAGCTTCGAGTCAGCCCCACCACTGACTACACTTTCACCTTTCCACCAATCCGCACACAATACCTGTATTGACAGAGTAATGTTAGGAAATACTAATGTGATAGAACAAATACTCTTAAACCAGATCTTAGAAGGCAAAATTTAATACCTTGTCATTGTGAGTATCAATGACAGCAAGGGGCCACTGCAATATAAAATGTTTTACTCAGGAATGGAAATATAAGTGTTTATAAAAAGCCATACTAGTCAATATAGGGATGTTAAAAGTGTAGTACTAACCGCAGTTCTCAAGTCCCATAACATTACTTTCCCATCATAAGATGCAGAAACCAAGTGAAACCATGACTTTTCATGCCACTTGCAGGCAGATATCCAAGAACTGTGTGATGAGAATTGATAAACAGGAGCCGAAGTACCTGTTAAGTAAAAGATGAAAGTATTTCTTCATATATCAATGTATGCTGTAAGGTCCTCAATTACTTGGAACTATAAACACAAAGAAAAGATATTTAAGCACAGAGAGACAGAGAGGTTAAGTTCAGGGTGTTTAAAAGTGCTTCTGTAAGTTGGACAGAAGAAAGAAACCTGGTTTGCGAGGATCCCATATCCTAAGAATGGGGTCAGAACCACCGGCAGCAATGAGGGCATAACCTTCACCTCCAACATCAAGGCAATTAATGACTTTGTCGCAATACTGTTGAAGAGGAAGGTGGTCATTATCCATTACGTTTAGGAAAATAAAGTTTCAAGCTCCCAACCCAATAGACTAAAAAAGATACTATACATCTTGGCAATAAAAAGTTCAAAACCAGCAACTAATCCTGATGGGACGGTATCTTTTTCTTCAAGATAGTTTAATTTTTAAAAATATGATTGTTGACTGCTGAAGAGAAATGTTATCTCTGGCAGAAAGTGGAAGTAATATCACGAATAATAGCATATTTAAGTGCCACAACTTCCCCAAAATTTGCATATATTCTTATTTTGCAAGTTGGTAATCTATTTCGCCCCCTCCAATCTAGATGTATGTAATTTGCGTAAAAACAAGCCTACATGCATAGGACAGTAGAGATGTGACAGGAAGAAAAGAAGGAAAGAGACGGTATGTCACCATGTTCAATGAATCCTTGCCCATCTCAACATCCCATCTTCTTATAGAGTGATCCCATGATGCTGAATACATTGTTTCATCTTGTGGCCACACCACGGAAGACACACATTGTGTATGTCCTACAAGTGTGGATTTAGCCTCCTCCTGTGAGCATAAGACGTGAAAGATTTCTTGAGTACAAGATTAAGATAACAAACATTAACATTATAAAAATTACAGAGAAAACAATAGAAAAAGAAGAGAGAAAGAACAAAGATCAAACACCTCTCCTGGTAGCCAAAGACTAACATATTTCAGAAATAAATTTCAACATTATTTTGGTCCCTTCATCTGCATTGATAAACATTGTCATTTGAGGAAATGAGAAGCTTTTTGTCTTCCACAAAAAGGACACTAGATTTCGCTAATAACTATGAGTTGTCAATGAGATGTAATGTAACATAGAAAGTCAGAGACATATTTGACTGGCACAAAATTGTTGCACGAACAACTTAGAGAAGAATAAAATAGCGACAAAGGTGGTAAATAAGGAACAAGGGAGGACGATAGGTGGGGGGAAGGAAGAAGAACAAATAACAACACAAAGTTGGAGGCACTGCAGGAAGATGGGTGAGACAATGGATAGGTGTGGCATATAACACCCATATAACAGGTAGGATGGAGAAGGAGTAGGGTTCAGCGAAGAAGAGGTTTTGCCAAAAAGTAAAAGTACATTATTAGTAACGTGTCGTCATGTATGCCTTGCACTGGAAAGTTTTCAAAACCAAAATAGTATCTGCTGCCGTAAACTATTTTTCCTCCTCTTTCAATGACTTTGAGAACAGACACATCATCCTTTTCTATGTGGATAAGGTAGAACAGATACATTATCCTTATTAAACAGTTTTTCAGTCTTTAACCTAGACAGTTAGAAGAAACATAGTCATACTTCTAGTTGAGGATCTTCCTCTTTGGCATCCTTTTTCCTTTTCTTGACTGAAACTACATCACCTGTATCTGAGCCACTTGCTTGCCACAAAGCTATTTGGCAATCCCAGGACCCTGAACACACCTGTCAACACAATAAATGCTGGGGAATCAGTAAAGTTCTTAGAACTAATTTCGTAGTTAAAAAGCTTCAAATGATCAATTAAGTGAAGAGATGCACGACCATATCTCCAGCGGGGTTTGCTGCAACACTTTGGACAGAAGCATTATGTCCATGTAAAATCTTAAAGGCTCTAATCCTCTTTAGCTGATCCGAAGACTCATCTGCATCAAACTTTTAAGCCAAACAAATACTAATTAATGGAAGATCACAAATTAGCAGTGAGTTATCAGTAGTGCAGACAGACGATGTTACCTTCCAGAGCCGCAGTGTCCTATCCTTGGAGGCCGTGGCTACTATTTGATCAGCACCACTTTGAGCCACTAAAGAAAATAAATGGTACAAACTAAAATAAACACAGATAGAACTGGGGAAAGCAATGAAGCACAGAAAAGTAGATATGCAGGAGCAATTTAAACTAAATTTCAATACTGATTGTCATGCTGGTAAACTTTTTAGGTAGCCAGTGTGTTTCAGCATTGCAAGGCAACTTAATAGAAGGGATATCAACAAGAAATATTAACCAAAAAAAGGAATATGAAACGCAGGTGATATGGGTGTGAGGAGCATGGTGTCCCAGATAAATGATAATGGCAGCAGAGAATAAAGCATAATGCATGAAAACGAACAACTGAGGAGAAATTATCTCCCACTGATACCTCTTGGTTTGACAACACAAACAGAAGTAATTGCACCAGTATGGCCCTCCAATTGATGTGTACAAGATCCGGCAGCCTTCCATATTCTGATTAGCACCATCAAATGTGAGGTTGACACAACAACATAAAACAAACCAAGCCTATTTTTGAACCAAAAATACAATTAGCAAAGAATATACAATCAGCAGATTACCTTCCACAACCATCATAGCATCCAGTCAAAATAAACCTGTCAGATCAGATATATGCACATCTTGTCAGTTAAGGTTATGGGAAGAAGACCATTGTTACAGAATTAATGGTAACCATCAAATATTTTAGGACAATGAAGCACATGGAGGATGAAATTTAGCTTCAAAACACTTGAACAAAAGCAGCAAAATGTAATAAGAAAACGTTTCCTCAGAAATCTAGTGTGTAAGAGATATCTATGGAGTGAAGTGAATGCAAAAGAGACCTGGAGTATAACCACACACATCCACGCACTCTATTTTTGTTTTTTTCAAAAAATATATTTTGGGGACAAAACCAATATTCTCATTCAGTAAACAAGTTCCTTTAGAAGAAACTCCCACAAAATCTCAAAAATATGAAACAAATGAAAGATATACAAGTTGGTGAAAACAACAAGAACACACCAAAGATTCTAGAAAAACAAATTTCACACTCATGCTTACTTAGAATTAGAACCATCAACTGCACTGACCCAGTCATCATGCAAAGATGGCTCTTCTTGTTTTCTTGGAGCCACAGCTTTAATGTACTCAATCTCTAATATTTTCTCCTGTAAAAGATATAGAAAACAGTTACACATAAAAGGAGGAGTATAAGAACCACCGAATAAACGTATAATGACATAAGTAAAAAGTTTTGTCAAAAATCTCAATGGCTTGTGAGTGAAATAGGCCACTACCGGGTAGTGAAAGAGAGCATAAGAGAAACAACTGGGAAGGAACTTGAATTATAGAGTAGATACTTCTAAATCCTTCAGATATGAATACCTTTTTGCAATCTTTAGCATTTCCATGAAGAAAATGTTCACATTACACTACAATGCATACAATTTTGAAACAGAACTTTTAATACTTTGGAGTTGAGTAGGAGCAAAAGCACATAAGAGGAGACAGTATATGTTTTACTTTTTCTACAACTTTGAGACTCCAATAAGAGATACAATTGCAAATATAAAGAGAATAACACTCATGAATAAAGCAAAATAACATTCCCACAAGCAGAATCCATTAGATGCTTTGTGGAATCAGAAATAGTCCCAAGCAATAGGGTTCATTGAGCTAATCCAACTATTGGTACAAGTTCAGCTCAAGCTTGCCCACGTTTATCAATCTTATGACTGGCTATTCATCCTTTTCTGGAGGATCTTATTATCATTCGACATGAGTCATTATGCTGAGACCAATTGAAGGAACATACATTAAACAGAATGCAGATTAATGGAGCAACACAACAAAAACGCACTTCTGTTATGGTGTTTCAAAATGTTACATGATGTATAGAGGTCATTCTATATTTTCTTTGGAAGCAAGATTAACCAGCTTTCATAAGTATCTTTTGATTTTTAAGTTGGTCTCAAGAGACAAAACAGTCTACTGGACTGCGATCACTCTAGCAGTCAAGAAGTCATTTCAAGAAAAAAAAACTTACAGCTGAAATGCCCTTGGCAAGGAGAAACTCTTCAAGTGACATGCGGACCAGTTCTCCATCAATGAGAAAATCAAAAGGCTCAGTATTCCATTCATCTTTCCCTGATAATAATCAAATGACAATCAGGTAAACATACTAGTAATTATAATTTATTTATCTACAACAACAAAAAATGAACCATATTAATTCAAACTACATAACACGACCAATATTCAATCAACTATGCTTCAGTCCTAAACTAGTTAGTGAAAGCTATAAATTTTAGAAAATTAATACTGGGCAGAATAATTAGAAGTTGTTACCAGCTTTAAGGAGGTTGTTGACAATGGAAGAGAGGCCGAAACGGGTGAGATTGGAGGGAATAGCAATGGAAGTATTTGGGGCTTTAAAGGGAGGCTTCAACTTCGTGACGAACCGGACCTGCACCCGCCTCGCTGACTCATCAACGTCCCCGTCAATATCCATTCCCGCCATTAATTCGTCGGAGTTAATCGGAGAAAGGTTAAGGATGCTAGGGTTTAACAGGCTGAGGGGGGAAGTTGGCGGGTCGAGCTAGGGTTTAACGGAAATTTTGAAGTCTTGTTCATCTATTTTTGAGTCTTTGATAAAAGGGTTGGGCTTTGGGCTTCATGTACTGTATTGGTGTGACTTGTGGGGGGCAAGTGCACAAATAGCCAATGTTATTTAGAGAACTAAAAATCTTAAATTCAGGAGAATTGAGGATATTTTTATCCCGAAAATTTAAACTAAAAAACTTAAATTCATAACGCATTGACTAATTCTTAAATAGCAGCCCCTTAGAGTGGCTACCTGATATCAATTCTTCGTGACTTGTGAGATAGTCGGTCATACAATTGCTTAAATTTAAAATAACGCATGAATATATCATATATGTATAATTTATATGCAATGTGTATATAATATATGTATAATCGCTAGGAAAATTAAGTAGTAAATCTAACAGGCTATATATGTAAAGATCTTTTTCTTCTTCGCCTTCTTTTTCTCTAATTTTTTGTCTGTTTATTTTCATATTCATATTTAAAATAATTTTCTCATATATTAGAAGCAACAGTTGGGATTTAAGTTGTCTGTGTCATCAACATGCATGCTTGGCCAACAAGTGACATCTTGGAGCCACACGTGGCTAATTAAGGAAAATATTTATATTACACATATATCTATTGTGAAAGTGGGACCCATCCAAGCATTTATTCAAAAGAAGTTCTATGGAAAATGGAGATGCATATATAAAAACGGAGTAAATTTCATAAATGGTCATATAATTATGATTTTTTTTCATTAAAGTCATATAACTTTATTTTTTCACACAAAAATCATACAACTATGACTTTTTTTTATCAAAGTCAAATAACTTTGTTTTCTCACACAAAAATCATAAAACTTTCACTAACTCACATAAAAATCATAGTGGTCGGAAAATAAAATTTTTGGTAGTATTTTCTTATTTTATATTTTTTTTATTATTATTTTCAGTCTAATAAATAATTATCCAATTAAAATAGAAGAAATATGAGTATATTTTTAGCTGCTCATAAAAATAATAGCCGATAAAATATTTTTTATATATATGTGTATTATATACATATAACATACACATTCTATATATATATATATATATGCTAGCAAATGTAATTAGTTTCGGCCGGACGGTTAATTTTATATTTTTTCTCTTAAAATAGGAATGACCCAATATCCATATACGTAAGTTAATATAGTAATAAAACATAATTCTTCCCCCATAAAAAATTTAGTTCATAATGCTTGAGATTCTGATAAGAAAATAAAGAAATGAAAGGTATAATTAGAGCGCACTTAAAATCAAAATTCTATCAATTTGAATAAAAATCTTGAAAAGAAAAATAAAAGATAGAAGTATCATATTTTGAAGGATTTACTATTCACTTTTAGTATTATTTTAATTTATATAGTATTGGGTCTGGTGGGGTGGACCAGGTCGGGTTGAGTCATTTCTATTTTAATTGGATTATTATTTATTAGACTGAAAAGAAAAAATAAAAAACCACAAAATAAGAAAATACTACCAAAAAATTATATTTTTCGATCACTATGATTTTTGTGTGAGTTAGTAAAAGTTTTATGATTTTTGTATAAGAAAATATAGTTATGTGACTTTGATGAAAAAAATTATAGTTATGTAATTTTTGTGTAAGGAAAACAAAATTAATATGACTTTAATGAAAACAAAATCATAATTATGTGACCATTTATAAAATTTATCCTATAAAAACGTGGCTCATTCATCTTCTGTGGAGTGATTTCTGATCGTAAGTGTAATTTTGTAACATGTGAAAATGGAGCAATTTCACTAGCTAAAAAGTTACTTTACAATAGCTCATATATGTAAGCTTTTTGGTGTGTTGCCCAATTTACCTCAGTGCTTATGTCATCATTAGTCATAACCAATATCTCTTAGTAGTGTACCACGTCATGTCTGCCCCACTTATCTGCCACTATCCTTGCTCTTTATGTTCTTCACCTGTTAACCCTTTCTCTTTATTCTTGTAATGTAATGGAATTTTCTTTAAACTCAAATGGATATTACTTTCATAAACAAAAGTTTACTTGCAGGATTCATTTAAATAAAATGAGCTTTAAAAATTTGACTATAGTATGATAGCATTTTAAAATTTCTATAGTGTCTCTTCTCTTAACAACTAAACTGGTGTATATCTCATGCTTCCACAAAATATAACCACTTCAATTAAATTTAAAATTTTCTTAAATCAAGTTGGTTACAACTTTGCTTTGTTGATTAGCGTTGTCAAATACAAAAATATACATGATTAACAGAAAATGAGATGTCAAAAATCCAACATAAACTTATTTTATTAAAAAAAAAAAAATAAGGATCCATGAATGTTTAGTTATAAAAAAAAACACAAAAAAGAAAAGAAAAGAAAACTAATGTCAAAGTACTACAAACCCGACAACCTTACCTAAAAAAAATATAAAAAAACCATTAATCAACTTTATGTAGAAAAAAAAGTAAAAATATATTGTTTGACCTTAGATCAAAATCTTCAACTCTAAGTGTGCGTTTGAACATAAGAATTGTAAAATTTCAAAAAAAAAGTGAACATTTTTAAAAGTGAAAATGGTATTTGAAAATTAGAGTTGTGTTTGGACATGAATATAATTTTGGGTTGTTTTTTAAGTTTTATGAGTAATCTGAGTGAAAATTTTGAAATATAACTTTTTGGAGTTTTTTAAAATTTTGAAAAATTTCAAAATGCATTTTCAAGTGAAAATTAAAATTTTTTATGAACAAACGCTGATTTCGAAAAAAAGTAAACAAAAAATTGAAAAAAGAAAAAAATTTCTTATGTTCAAACGGGCTATAAAACTTTATAAAAATAGCTCCAAAACAAAATTATATATATATATATATGAAATTTCGTTGTAGATTCTCCATTATATTCGGGCGAAATCATTCTTTTACAGCTTGTTTGGATAGTTGTTACTCATTGTATCGTATTGTATTATTATCCCAAAATAATATTTGTTTTGATTGTTTTATTTAAAGCAGTTGTATTGTATTGTTAAATTCATTGTTCCGGAACAATGAAAAGTCCCATTTTTTTAAACAACCGATTTGGTGTGGTGGGATTATTTTTTATTTTTCTTTCCAATTATACCATAACTTATTACTCCATAATTCTATTTTATCCTTTACTTTTTTTTATTATTACTCCAAATCTCCCACCTATAACCTACTTTGTCTTCGTCCCTTTTCTCTCAGAATTTCTGCCACTTCCAACTCCAACGTAAAATTGCTATTTTTGTTAGAATTTGCATGAATTTAGTTGCTCAATCTATTTACAAGACATATTTGGTGATAAATTAGTAGAAATGGACTTTCTTTATTTTTATGCGTAATTGTTGATAAATTTAATATTTAAACAATTGAGGGTATTTTAATAAATGTATCAGTTACAGTACAATACGATACAGTCAAACCAAGCAGCAAAATATTATTTAACAATAACAAATAATACAATCTATCCAAACATTATATTTATAAAATGATACAATACAATACATTATAAAATGATGAGTAACAACCATCCAAACAAGTTGTTGATGCATTCGGAGTTTGAGGAGTGCCCTAGCCAGTTCCTAAAATTCTAAGTTTAACAGCAACATTTGAGCTCGAGTATAAGAAAATTAATAAGTTAAAGCATAGAAGAAACAATACACTAAATAAAAAACAATATATGCGTATACATATATACTCGGATAAAGTTTAACTACATTAATAAGTTAATAATTTAAATTCATATTCATCAAAAACTTTTGCAGTATGAATTCATAAAAGTTAGTAAGAATAATATATATAACATTTTGCAAGTTAAGTAGTTGATAGTGCTTTAAAAAAATACAATTATTTGTATTTTTTCCTAAATGATTTTAAGAAAATTCACTTGAAATTATTGCTTTTTGTTCGTATTTTATATATTACACCTTTGAATGTTTTAAGGTGTTTTATTTGGAATACATTCAATTTATCATCATTTTGGCAGTCGGTCAGAAATTATATTTTAATTATATAATTAAACAGTTTTAATCTTTTATGTTTACTTAAATTTAGCACTTTTGATTTTCATTACATTTAAAACACACAATAATAATTGTATTTGAAAGAATTAACTTGTGAAAAATATGTGAACTATTTAAATTGAAGAAACATCACGAAAGACTTTTCCATATTCATTTCCCAATTCGTATCTTAAGAAAATACATAACTTTAAAGTTTCGACAATAAGGTGTGTATGAGACATAAATGTTGACTCAATCACTATTTCATACTATAATGTAACGTGGAACGAAGCGTATCGTTTTTCCATTTTGGTATGAATTGGGAGAAACTGTCCCAATAACTTTTTTACTTTAAAATTCAGATGACTACATATTTCTTAGGAGCTAATTTTATTATCAAGCATAACTACTCTCATGATTGTAAAGTATATCAGAGAGACCAAAAGTGCTAAAATGTGATAAATATAAAGGATTAAAACTGATTAAGTATATATTTTAAAGACCATTATAGACCAATCCTCAAACATTTGAGGCTATTTTTGTTATGTTCTCTCATAGACATCATACAACCAGGTAACAAATGAAGATCTATGAAGTGTGTTAGACACATTTGGAAAAAGGGTTGGTGTGAATATTACACGTAAAACTGTGATGTGTCAAATGAATTTGCGTACAAGCTGAAGGGCAAAGTATGTATTAGGCAAAAATTATTTTACCCTCTAATCCGTATTTAAGTCAAATAAAACGAGACAAAAATACTTGAATAAGAAAACAAAGCAAACTAAATATTAGCAGCATTTATGAGTTTATGATAAGGTTTGATTATATTAACGAGCTTTCATTCGTAAAGCTACAACATTTGAAAATATGAATAAATATTATTTGAAGTTTGGGTCAATTAAAATTTTAAGCAAATTTATCTTTTTTCTATAAAAAGAAAGAAGCAAATTCTTTAAACTTTGCTTGAATTTAATGAGCATTCAAGCCATTCAAAAGAATTAATTTAAATAGTCACCCACCCAACTATATG